TCTGCAGGCGTGTCTTGATCTGGGCCTGGTAAAGTTGGCGTCGATGTTGGTCGCCATATCTTCTGTCCAGTGCAGCGACCAAAGTTTGGTATTCCTGCTGTTGGGCTGCAGGAATAGTTTGCAGGAGTTCCAGGGCAGGGCCACGCAGCGCGATGACAAGTGCCGCTGCTTTCTCCTGGTCAGTCCATCCATTGGCAGCAGCCGCTGCTTCAAACTGGCGGTGGTACATCGTCCAGGTGGTTTGTCCATCGTAGGTCGGGGCCTTGAGGTTCGCAGTTCCATGAACGCCAGGTGTTCTTACTTGTGCCTTGGTCTTCTGTAGGTCCATCTCTAATTTTTCCATTTTCTGCTGAAGGCGTTCCTCAAGATCTTCTACGACTTCTTGAAGGTGATTTTGCTGTTCCTGGCAACGTACTTCCAACATTACTTGTTGTTCCTTTTTCATATCCTCGAAGTTTTTGTGAAGTCGAATTTCCTGATTTTCTAAAATTTTCTGAAGCCGGTCCTGTTCTTCTTGCTTTTCTCTCTGACGTCGCTCCTCCAAACGAATTTCCAAATTATCCAACATTTTCTCAAGCCGGTCCTGTTCTTCTTGTTTATCTTGTTGTCGTTGAATTTTCAAATCTTCGAAAATGTTCTCAAGCCGGTCCTGTTCTTGTTGACGTCGTAATTTTTCCTCTTCCTTTTCTCTTTCTAATTTCTCCATAAAACCGCCCAATAATTTGCTTACTTCCTCCATTTTCTTAGCTTGCTTCCTTGTACCAACCATAAAAATACTCTAATTCGGTCTAAAAATCTTCCAATCCACTTAATTTCTTCTTAAAATTCTCTTGAATCTCACTTCCGACACCAATTGTTACGGATTCCGTGGGTCCACTAATTTAAACTCACGATAAAATACTTAACGAATTTATTTTCTCACTTTATACACAATTACTAACTTATAACACACAACAAACTAACTATTTATAAGATTCCTTCACCAAATTGTCCGATTTTCAATTTCCACGCGGTATATTCAAATTTCAAAAACTGTCTCAGTTGTCGATGGCTCCGGCTTATATACTCTATTGACTGCTTCTCGAAATTTCCCCAATTCTCGGAAAGCGTACTTCTTCATACCAGACAATTCCATTGTCTGATTCCCTTACTTCTCGACTTGATTAAAAGATGGCGCCTGAAAAAGTCTTTTAATTTCTGGCGGATATGTTGTGGTTGTGCAGGCAACCAGTAATACATTTTTAATTTCTGGCGGATACGCCATTTTTCTTGACAATATTTTACATAAAAAACAAAAAATATATATGCGATTTTCTATTAGTTTTAATTTTCTTTTAAAGTATTTTTTATAAACCCTAACAAACCTGCATCTATTTTAAGTTTTAATATTATCCTTGTATATATATTTTTAAACTACCGTATGATCGAAAAAAAACGGCGTCCAGTTGGCTGGGAAATGACGATCGATAACATTTCCCATATAATTTTACATATAAAATGACAGCGATCTTCATTTCATAGCCATCGTTGACGCCGTTTTTATTCGATCATACGGTAGATCAACCTAAGACGTTAATGGACTAAGACTACTAGATGGCAGGACCGGTTTCCCTACAGAAAAATATTTTTTGTTACTCTGAATTTTGAAACTACCAATAAAAACAGAGAAAATAAAAATCGATAATTTTCGGACTGTGCCAATTGGTTACTAATCGACCAGATACTTTTTGTCTATTAGATATGCTATAAAAGCTGGCAATTATACAATTCGACCATTGTAAATACCCGACAAATTCTTCAAGGCCGACAAGGCCGATGCTTCTCACTGTTAAGAAATAAAAATGTCTGTTTAGATAATTTTCGAGGTATTTTTCTTTCTGAATGCACATTTTAAAGTATTTTATATTCTTTGTCCCCTTGACCTATTAACCTGGTTGCACGTATGGAAGTTCTGTTTCTTCTAGTTTTAGAAAATGTTCTTATTTCTTTTTTCTTTGTAGTTGTAGTGTAAAATTAGATTAATTTATTAAGTTTAATTATAGTGTTTAGTGTAGCATGTTAGTGTAGTCTACCAAAAATAGTTTGGTAGTGTTTTTATAGTTTATTTTGTAGTTAAGTAGTAGGTGAAGGGATACTTTTGTTATTTTTTCTTTTTGTTTGATAAATTAGTAAGTTTGATAATTTGTTCAGTGTGGAATACAAGAATAAGTAGTTGTGTAGTGTTTTTAAGAGATTATATTCGATTATTTTGTAGTTGAGTAGTAGGTGAAGGGGTATTTGGGCATTTCTTGTTTTTGTTTTTCTTGTAATAATTGTAGTAGTTCTATTAAGTATTGTGATAGATACACTATCTTCCTTCAACTTCGTTGAATAGTGCGTTATCATATAATCTTGGTTTTCTGGTAGCAGAATATACGAAAAAAAATCTGATCAAATTTATTTGAAATTAAATTAATCTAGCCTTATTAATCAAATTAAACTAGTCAAATAATAATAATAATAGTTTCCTACGATGTTCTCTATGGGCATCTCGGAAACTACTGGAGATAGAGAGTCGGTTAATGGGGAAAGAATTGCAGTTTTGTGGGGTCATAAATATGCGCCTTTCGGATTTTTGAAAAAGTTTATCGCTTACTAGATATTTCGAAAAAAAAACAAATTTTGGCTATTTTCAAACTTGTCCCTAATTCCATTATAAACGATTTTAGACAAAAAGTTTTAGATAATCACATACCTAATGATTTTGTGTTTTCTGAGGTGTCATAATGAAAGTCATGTTGGAACCACCCTATTGATGCGCCACTATCTAAATTTAACTTTTCTAACATGTCTTGAAAACCGTTCTCTAAAAAACGTAAATAACGTTCACCAGTCAACGTATCCTGGAAAATGTATGCTCAAGAAAAGTTGAACCAATAATCCTACACGCTTTTCTTCATTTAAAAAATTCATATTTACAATTTTTGTTTAAGCAAGTTGCCATTTTTTGAACATTTAATGAAGAATGTAAAAAGTTTTGTTTCAAAAAAAAATATCGTAAAATTCGTAAAACACTCAATTTAGAATAAAATAATCTAAGAATGAAATGATTCTTTTATAAACCTGCATTAAATCAAATTAAAGTAGGTATGTAGAGTTGGGATTTTGACCGTCAAAATCTTTTGTGGTCAATTGTCCAGTCAATTGACTGGTCAATTGACACAGCACCAGTCAAATTCTTTCGTGATTCTAAAAAAATAAAAGTAGGAGAAATTACATTTATACGTATATTAGTGATTAAAAAACAGTAAACAAAAACTAAAGAATACAACAAAACGAAACATTACATTAAATGATAATTAAATTTAAAAGTTTTATATAAAATTTAATATTAATTTAAATGTAAAGCGTGGTCCACACGCGGCAACTTATCGTACGATTTGTTTGCATTACATTAAATGATACAAAAAAGACAGTAACCGAACAAGACTAATAATTTTTAAACAAATATAAAGCCATTCTGAGGTAACGAAAAAAAAAATGCATAATAGGAATAAAAAAATACTAATGAGTGGTGGTAGCACAGGCTAATCTAGACAACGGAATCTCATCTTCATCACAGTCATCATTGAACTCATTGAGTCAACATTAAAACAGCAACTAACAATTCTTTCGCGTCGCGAGTGCTTTAGGCAAGTCAGTACCTGTTATTCGGTTTACGACAATTAAAAGATTTTGACCTGACCTGGTCAAAATCTTTCCGGTCAAAATCTGTCAAAATCTCGGTCAATTGACCAAGCACAACTCTATAGGTATGTAACTTTTTTTAAATATTAATTAACAGTAATTAGCATTATCATAAATTATAAAAAAATGTACCAACATATCGAAATAATAATTTCATATAAGGATTCTTGCCACTTAACTGCTTATATAGAAATTTAATTCTACGCTGTGTTTGTCATAATGTGGATCAACCTGCTCTCACTACCGGTTTTGGAGCCCTACTCCATCATCAGGTGAGCTTGGGCAGATCCACAAAATGACAACCACAGCGCAGAGATAGTTAATTCCGACTGGGCCGCTATCTCCCGTTCGGGACTTAATATCTAACCGACACTTTCCGACAAGTCGGAATTAACTATCTCTGCGCTGTGGTTGTCATTTTGTGGATCTGCCCAAGCTCACCTGATGATGGAGTAGGGCTCCGAAACCGGTAGTGAGAGCAGGTTGATCCACATTATGACAAACACAGCGTAGAATTAAATTTCTATATAAGCAGTTAAGTGGCAAGAATCTTTATATAATTTTAATAATAATTTCTTTGTTAATACGGTATAGAATTTTTAAAATAACAGGCAAAAATAATCCACAATCTACAATAAAATAAAAGTTTCGTTTAAATTTCTTACTCAGCAGTTGATATAATCAGTTGATATCTATTCTGTGTCCGGGCTATATTATTACATTACTCTGAAGAAAATAACGAAAATAATCGATATTTTTGACTCCGCCCCGAAAGGTTCACGATTTATCCTCCAGCTGGCAGCACATTTTGTCTAGCCGGTTGAGCAACTTAAAGAATATATAAACAAGGATAATATTTAGTTCTGAAACTTAGTTCTTTCTTTAAGTACTATTATAACGTAAGGATAAAATATAGAAAAAATAATTCAAAAAGATTATGTACATCAATAAAAAAAATAGTAAGATTTCAGGACTTTATATTAACAATGGCAACGCTGGCCGTATTCCGAAAACACGTTGAGATGACAGTTAGCAGGTTTACCTCCCACTCCAAATTTTTAGGCTGGATTCGTTTTGTCGCTTCTCTACGATTGTTCTTCTCTGATATAAAAGTGTGTTTAATGATAAAATTGTTACTTCAAAGTCACAATTTTATAATTACTACACATATTTGGAACACGTACTCCAAATGAGCCGACGCTTAGTGTCGTTTCTGTATAGCTAAGGTATTTTGTTCTATTGTTTAAGTAGTACATTTTTGTTTTTTTTTTTAGATATCTCAGTTACCGCCAATTTATCCAAAGCAAACTCAGCTGCAAACTTCACAACTTCACTCTCCCCAGTTACTCTCACCCCAACTGCATTCTCCAAAACTACATTCTCCTCAAATTACTTCTACTCAGTTACCTTCACTGCATTCGCCTCAGCATTCAGCAGTAATACAAACACCTCAAAATTTACATCCAGTTGTTGGCGTTCAACATCACTCATTGCATACATCTCAAAATCAAAACCTAAGTACAGCAAACAAAAATAAACAGCGTAGTTCTAGTCCACAACAAATTAAACCCTTACAACATAATTTTGTTCAGCCACAAGTTTTTCAACAAAACGTTCAACAGATACAGCAAAACAATATAAATCAGCAGCAAAGTATTCCAGAGCATCCAAATGAGAATAATAATACTCAGCAGGCTTACAAACTTCACAGATCACAAGTTCATCAAATTACACAATTGCCATTAACGAAGAAGGCGCATCTGTAAGTAAAGAAATAAATAATAAAGTATAATTAAACAATATGTCAATCTTAGAATATTTTTTACGCTATTTAGACTTATCGATTTTTGTTCTGTTTCACAAAATGTATATTTAAAATGAAAGAGAAGCTTGCACTGGGGTACGAGTATGGAATAAGCAGTAAATTATATTTCATATTATTTATTGTCGACTATTTTAGATCACTGGGAGTTAGCAGATATTATTGGGTTAAAATAACATTTTTTTTTAAATTTTAAAGAAGTTACAGTTGTACAAATATAGGAAGAGACTTGGGGATAGCACCGGTCGCATTTCATTCATAGTGTTGCGGACCCGTGCGGCCTAGAGAGGGCAGTTATAAATATACCAGTGCAGTTGACGCGCTAAAATTCAAAATAAATTCTTAGTTATAAATCGTTTGTAAATAGTTCTATAAGTCTTTTATCGTTATTGTTTTTGTTAATTAGTGTTAAATAAATAGTGTTTAAATAAATTGTGACTTTCTATCCACACGGAACCGACGAAAAACGTAACAATAGCATTCATAGCATTTCTCACGTCTCTAGCTATACTTGTTAAGTTGTAACTGCTTTCCATATTTATAGAGTATTTTTTCTCATTCTAACGGTATAAAAAAACTTATTAACGTAAAAAATGGAGTTAGCAGGTTATCACGTTTCACTGACAAAATGAAGATTTGTTGCAAAAATATGCTAAAGCACTGGATTGGAATTTATTATTCTATTTGGAACTATTTTAGGATTGAGACACAACTTAATTTGGATCAAAATGGTGCTGCAAAACCAGATGTACACACGCCATTTCGAGATAAAAAGGACGCGTGTGTGAGACTTATTCGTTACCATTGCATGGACCAGTCTGTCCTATCGCAAAAAGATCTCGACAAGGCCGACGAAATATTTGAGATTACAGCAAGGCATTTTATTGGAAAATTTGATAAAATGGTTGACAAGTATAAATACCTTTTATTGAAAGAAAGTATGGTAAGTAGAATATGTAATGTCAAACTTATAAGTCTTTATTAATGCCATTTATTCACATAATAATCTCAAGTTAAGGGGGCGATTCTTGATGTACTTATTCTAAGAAAATAACTTTATAGTAATCGCAAAACAATTTCTGATGCAGGTCATCAACTTTGAGTGACAAGCAATGGCGACAGCGCTGCCAGATTGTGATAGATTTATGAGATGAATCTTAATCTAAAATTGACAAACAACATATTTATTATATCATTTTTTAAAGTTTGAGTTTTACGTTTTATTTTTAATTTAATAACTAATATTTTAGTGATTAATTGATTTATTTGTTTTATACCTTATTTTACTTATTACATATTGGCAAAAACTAGTCCATTATGAAGATTATTATAAGCGTTATTATCGGTTATTTATTTATTGATGTATATTTTACAACGCCATAAGCAGTAATAACAAGTAAGAGGGTGGTATTAATGCACAAAGTAATCACAGAATTTAATAAAAACTAACTTAAGTGTTATAATGTGCTTATCAATCAAACTTACTTTTCTGACTGCAGTCAAGGGTAATAAAGAATCTTTATTGTCACGTTCTCATTCAGGGAACCTACAAGCTCTTTGCTTTGACTGTTTAAATGCTTCGCCATATTTTCAACACACAATTTCAAGAAATGCAATACAAAAACTCGAAAATTTAGTTCTTGAAAGAACTGTTTGTGCTTAAAAGTGCAATTTTTAAAAAAAGGCTATGAAAATAGGCAAAAAACGAGAATTACTCACAAAGATTCAAAAACAACACGATATTATATAAAATAATGACTGACACTAGGAAAATTGTCAAATAATAAAGGACAACGTTGCTGAAAACGGCGCAATGTGACCAACATAGCGATAATAAAATTCGGTTTAAACCAGGGTTGGCATGATTTAAATCATGATTTAAATTGCGATTTAAATCAAGTGATTTTTTCAATTTTAATCATGTGATTTAAATCGAAAAAAAAATATTTTATTGAAACTTTATAAATCAAAAAATAACTGTAAAAGTTGTTAAAAGGTGTCCTAGAAAACTATAAAAAATATTTCTATATCAGATATAACAGATAATAAATCGAAAAATAATTGTAAATGTTATAAAACTATATAAAAATATCTATTCATCAATTTAAATGTTGGACCGATTTTTGAAGTAATTTCGTGTGAATCCATTAGACCGCTAAACGCAGGGATTTATTTTAAAATTTATTTATTGGTATAAACAATACAAATAGTATTTTAATCAATTTCAAACATTGCAAATAATATAAGCAGTAATGACTGAATGATAATGAATTTGACACTTAATATCAGTTTAATATTATATTTTTGTACTTTTGTGCTTAGGCGTAACATTCCTTTACTTTTATGCCTAGGCGTTGAAATGACAAAAATTAATACTTTTGAGACGTTTGAAAAAAATCCTTTTGATCTGAAGCGAGCGACTTTTTTGCGGAATATATTGGTGATCAATGTGGAAAAATGACACGCGCTGTAGAATTGTTAATGTTATCGGTATCGGGCAGAGTTATACAGATTTAGCCATTTAGCATAGGACTTTAATTGGAAATAAGTCCTAGTCATTTGGAAATCCGTTTTAAATATTGTTTTGAATTAAAATAAAAAAAAATCTGATTTAAATAAAAAAATCTGATTTTTTTTATTTTTTTTTTAAAATCATGATTTTTTCCAACCCTGGTTTAAACTAATTTTTGCAGCGTTAATCTAAATAAAATATCTGTTACAGCCATTTGCTCTATAAAGTAAGGTGAAGAGCTGCTCGGTATCTTAAATTATACAACAAATTTAAACATTTTTACCAAAATTTCAATTAGTCAGCTTTGTAGACTTTAGTGTCAATGTTGATATGACTGATGACGTGCATCGGGAAATGTTTTACGATTACAATATATCGGTTTATGTCTTAAACATCTTAACTTTTAAGATACAAACTCGTAAACTTTTATAAATTTAACAAAAGTTGATTTCATAATAACTCTGATGTCAATTAAAACTTTGAACGTCCCTGTATATCAGTAAGAATAGGGCGAGTCTCAAAAAACAAAATAGTATTCGTCTTATCTCCCGGAAAGAGTTTTTGCTGTTGCACTTGTGGACTATGAGATTAAATATTGCTATATACAACTTTTTTTCTTTTTATTGAAATAAATAGCTTCTTGTACTTTTTACTTACTTATACTACTTTTTTACACATAAATTGTTCTTTATTCAGTAAAGAATTTCTCATCGAGATTTTCAGAATTATAATTTGAAATAGCTTAAAACAAGTGAACTCCTCGGGGAGCTGTTTCAAAACAGGTATATGTAATATTGAACGTACTTTTAAAATTTTTCGATCTATGAAAACGTAAAATCTCTACTTTTTAATTTGTGGAATTCTGATTGGGATCGGAATTAGGCTTTAATTGTTTTTTGTGTCAATTTTTTGGATGCATTATTTAATTTTTTGTTTCAGCGACAAGTACAAACTTCAGAACTTATGATGTTGGATAGAATGTTTCTCTCTGATGAACAACAGTCTTTAATTAAACTTCGTCAAGACTATGAAACAGAATTATTAAATATTGCTGCTGAGTCACTTCAGTCTCATCAAAATGTTCATGCAGGTTCATCTAATGCTGATCAAAATTTACAGGTAAGGTTCACATCAAATCATACGAAGACAAGAAATTTGTTTTAAAAATGATTTGGGTCTGGACCGTGTTAATATTTTTATTAATGTTTGGTACAGATAGGTGTAAAAAAATGGAAAGGAAAATTTGTCGTCAAATTTAAAGTGATATACAGGGTGTCCCAGGCTGAGCGTGCATTAGAAGTTTCTAGAGAACTACAATATCTAGATGGGGGATTTTTTTCACATCATTGTTTCACAACGAGATCTATGTATTAAAAATATTTTCAATATGGCGGCTGTTGACAACAACTTTCTTATTTTAAATGGGTGCCCCCATTTTTTATTACATACTTAAATTCTCTATAAAATTCTATGAATATTGATGTTAAACACTTTATACCTAACATTAACCCTTTTTGAGAAAAAAAATATTTAAAATTTTTGGACGAAAAAAATTGCCTGTCAAAAAAATTTGTATGCTTAAAAGTCAAATTTAGTGATTACCACAGCCACTGTGACATAAAGAGAAGATTTGTGGCTATCTATTTAAAAAATTAAAGTGTCATATAATAATGGCGGTAGTTGTCATGAAATTGTGCTATTAAGAAATTATCATAAATCATTTTTTTTCAAATGGAAACCCACTTTTTTTTTATTTCACTAGTGAAAAGGTTTTTCAATTCGTTACTTTTTGAACTATACATGTTCCTATACCTAAAATAAATTGTTTTTAAGTTATTTAAGATTTAGTTTGAAAACGTATATTTTTCTTGATTTTATCTAGCTTCCTTTGACATTAAGTATCAAACAGTCAGACAATTTATTTCCATCTGATAGAAAACGAATTATTTGAATTTCCTATATTATAAATACTACCTGCTTAAGGGTTTAAAAAGTGTATTTATAAAATATATCTCGTATTTACCCTAGTTTTTGGCCTAAAAATGTAGGTATTAAGAGATATGACTTCCGACGCCAGAAGAACTATAATCAAAATTCTTTTTTATAACTACATGTAATAACAGATTCTCAGTAATTCACCAAAACCAAAACTTCAGTATTATACATCAAAATGTACAATCATTAGGAAACAGTATAGACAAAATTGAGAGTGTATTAGCAGAGAACAGTGATTGTGTATTTCTGTGCATAACAGAACACTGGAAAAGTTTGGATCAACTTCAGCAATTGGGCATATGCAATTTTAATTTGGTTGCATCTTTCTGCAGAGGAAATGGTCAACATGGTGGTGCTGCCGTATATGTGAGAAAGGATGTTACAAGCTTTGAAAGAAAATCTCTTCAAAAACTATCAGATCAAGGTTTATTTGAATGTGCAGTAATGGACTGTAAAATTGGAGATGAACAATTTATAACTGCCTCAATTTATAGGCCTCCAAGTGGAAATATGGATGTGTTTCTGGAAAAAATAGAACAATTACTGTTAAACATAACAACTGAAAATAAGACCATATTTTTAGCAGGTGATTTTAACATAAATTTCAATGAAGAAAGCAGCAATGCACTAGACGTTCTGTCCATAATGTGTTCTTTCAATTTAAAAAGAACAATTTTTGAAAATACTAGAATTACAAACACTGGAGGTAGTTGTTTTGACAACATCTTTACAAATAAGGAAAATTATGAAGCTTGTGTGCTAATCAACAAAGGTACCATTACTGCATTGTTCGATTTCACTACATCAATAATACAACATCTGGAAAATAAAGATCTGGCAATGGGTATATTTCTTGATTTATCGAAAGCATATGACTCTTTAGACCACCATTTACTACTAATAAAACTCGAAAAATATGGAATAAGAGGTCCAGAACTCAAATGGATTACATCATACTTGACAAATAGAGAGACGAAAAGATTAGTAAGTCCAGTATACAAAAATCGAATATTGGTGTACCTCAAGGCAGTATCATTGGGTCACTACTTTTTATCATCTACTTAAACGATATTAGTCAACCAACAAGAAATGCAAATTTTAGCCTTACATGCTATGCAGATGACACTAATATACTTACTCATGGTTCAATACAAGATATTCTGAAGGAGAATGGCAGTAAGGCTTTCATGAAAGTAGAGGAATGGTTTGAGGCAAATAGACTAATGCTAAATAAAGAAAAAACTAATACACTAATTTTTCGAACACAACAGAAGAAAATTGAATTAGCGAGCAATTTGGAGAAATGGATGTCAGCCTTGGTGGTGAATGCAGATTTGTTGGTATTTACATAGACGAGCACTTAAAGTGGACCCAACATATTTATAAGCTATGCTTGAGACTTGGCACAATTTCTTACGGTCTGAGAATTGTGTCAAGTTATGTGAACCCAGACTCAATGAAGACACTATACTGTGGAAATTTTGAGGCACTGCTGAGATATGGAATTATTCTCTGGGGATCAAATTCAGAAACTGCAAAAATTTTTGTGATTCAGAAAAGAATTATAAGACTTATAAAGAAACTTCAGTACAGAGAAAGCTGTCGAGGACACTTTAAATGCTTCGGAATTATGACGCTTCTAGCTCTTTATATATATGAGTGTTTAATATTCATCTTCAAACATAAGTCCCTATTTGAAATGGAAAAATCTCATGAATACCAAACAAGATTCAGTGATGCCAAGTTCCCCTCACATCGTCTCACCCTAACTGAAAAAAATCCAGTATATATGTGTGTAAAGTTTTACAATAGCCTCCCTGAAGACATATGAGCAATCGAAAGTCAAGAAACCTATAAGAAATCGTTGAAAAAACTTTAATTCAATTGGAACCCTACTCAATCAATGAATTCTTAATATAAAAGTCTCTTCACCGCTGACAATATTTCAGTATGTCTATATATTTGTAATTTTAATGTACATATTTAGATCATTTTTGAAATAAATATTTTTATTATTATTTATTATTATTATTATTTTCGCTCTTTAGTGATATATAATAGTTGGATTGGAAATGATTATCGATAACATACTGCTTTTTGAACAAAGTGTCACAATATGAGAGATTTATTGTTTTACATCACTTGACATTTAAAGTTATAGCACAGATTAGGTATCCTATAAGGATACATATAAAAATCTTGTCCCTAATTCGTGGTACGAAAATTGTTTTTCATGACGATGAGCAAACGAATAAATTTTCTTGTGCGCAAAAATAAACTCCCGTTTAAACAGCGTAATAACTGGGCCGGTCACATGGCCGGTCAGGCGCTGTGCACAATTTTAGAGGCCATAAGTGAACGTGCTTGTGCTCAAACTAGCAACCTAACTAGTGCGCGACTCCGAAAATTGGAACCACGAAAAACAATGCTTTTGACGATAAGTTTATAATCTGTATGATCTGTGGTTATAGGCTACTGGTTAAAATCAAGAAAAATATACGCTTTAAAATTAAATCTTAAATAACTTAAAAACGATGGGTTACCATTTGTAAAAAAAATATTTTTGATAATTTTTTAATCGCTCAATTCAATGACAGCTGCGGCCATTATTATATGACATTCGAACAATTTAATTTTAGAAATAGATAGCCACATGTCTTCTCTTTATAGCACAGTGGCTGTAGTAATCACTAAATTTGATGTTTAGGCTATACACATATTTTTGACAGGCCGATTTTTTTGTCCAAAAATTTTAAATTTTTTTTTCTCAAAAACGGTTAATAGGTATAAAGTGTTTAATATCAAAAACATAAAATTATAAAATAGAAAACAAATTTCTTGCAGTATAGGTATATAATAAAATTATATAAGGCATTATTTTCTATTTTATAATTTGGCTTGCCTGAAAAAAAAAGCCTTTTACCATCTTTTTACTATCGATAGTTGCGCCTCAGTGGTACGAAAGTACTACCATTGCACGCAGGCCGCTATCTCCCGTTCGGGACTTAATATCTAACCGACACTTTCCGACAAGTCGGAATTAACTATCTCTGCGCTGTGGTTGTCATTTTGTGGATTTGCCCAAGCTCACATGATGATGGAGTAGGACTCCGAAACCGGTAGTGAGAGCAGGTTGATCCACATTATGACAAACACAGCGTAGAATTAAATTTCTATATCAGCAGTTAAGTGGCAAGAATCCTTATATAATTTTAATACCTAAAATTTTACAGAGAAATAAACTATGTAATAAAAAATGGGGGCACCCATTTAAAATAAGAAAGTTGCTGTCAACTTCCGGTATATCCGGAAGTACCGCCATATTGTAAATATTTTTAATCAATAGGTCTCGTTGTGTCATAATTCACAGCACAGCCTGGGACACCCTGTATATATATATTTTATTTTTCGCGATTTTGTCATGAATTTTTTAGCAAGCTGTATATATCTAAATACTTTAATTATCGGTAAACTTAAATTATGCTAAAAAAGCTAAAAAAATTCTTTGAGATATTTGTAATTTTTTTCTGTGAAAATAAACTTCAGTTTTACGAAAGCCTCAATTTAAGCTACCCTGTATCTCTTACCGTTCCCAAGATCCCAATGCTGAGTGTCGAATTTGAAACACCCTGTATAGTATTTTGATGATATTTTTTCTAACTGATTTTATTTGTATAGGGAAGTCATTCTGATTCCGCAGGCGAGGAAGAATATGATGAATGGGCTTGTATTCAAAGAGAATTAGGCTGTTTACCAGACAAGAGTCAACATTTGGATTCGCAAAATAGTCACTGTCATAACAATCGCAATATCACTCAACAACAGCAGCAAATGCCGCACCCCCCGTCTCAAATCGTCGTGAACCAAAACAGTTTAAAACGGTCGTCTAGTAGTGATTCTCGTTTGGAGACGTTAAAACGATTTCGTGTTGATAAACATACGAAAAAACACGATCCCAGTGTAAATAGTGTACAGTGTAGCAATAGCAATACTAACATAAGTACTTCGACTTCGATACAGTCCAAGTGCGGTTTTGACGGCACAACCTCCCAAGCAGCTACATCTTCTTCTGTAAATAGCAATCCTAAAGAAGAAGAGTCTGAAAATAACAGTATAGACGAGCAAGTGCAGAGTGCGATAAACAGTATTTTGAACTTGCAGCAAAGCACAGCACATTTACAGACTAACGCATTGGATTTGGATAGTATACTTTCATGACGGCATATATAGTTGTGGAGTAGTACTAACATAATTGTTTGTGTTTTTAATAATGGGCCCTCGAGCAGACCATTCACTACAGCTTTGAGGGTAAATAGTGGTTGACTAATTCTTGATTGTCGAGTTGTAGGTTGTATTGTCATTATGTAACAGGTGGTATTATTATGGCCAGTACATATTTTAAAAATATAAAACTGGACTATGTTGGATGTATAGTCAGATTTTAGTTTGCTATTTTTTATTTTAACTTTTGGTACAGGGTATTTACCTATGTTTCAGCTAAAAACTATCTCAGTAAATATTGGTTTTAGAAAAAAGAGGTTATATTATGTAAGTTTTAGAGTTTTGTCTGAATCACTACATTATAATTTACAGAATAACTAAAAATCGTAAGTAGATATTTTAAAACTGAACGGCCTAATGTAACAATATTTTATTCAAAATTGTTACATCAACTATTAAAGAAAATAACAATTTTTGAAAAAGGAAGAAAACTATCTATTCAACTGAAGAATCCAATAGATGACACTGTTAATTAAAATACAAGTGAAGACTTGAAGTAAATTAGTCCAAGATCCCAGAGCACTCAGACATAACATTTTCACAAGGATGAAACCTTAGGCTCTCAGTAGTTCTCTCATATGCTTTGAATACATGTGATACAGGCGTGTTTGGGGGGTTTGCCTTGTGCCACCTTAGCAGATACCAGGTGAGAAAGGTAACTAAAAATAAGAATTACTTAACTTCAATTTGTATGGCTGATTTATATATATATATATATATATATATATATATATATATATACAAATTAAACGGTCCAGCATCAGGGCCTGAAGGCATCGCTTGAACATTTTTCGTCCGATATACCCCGGGTCTGACGGCCTATCTTAAACGTACCGGGTCTGACTCCGTCGATTTAATAAATATATATATATATATATATATATATTGTAGAATATTACTCTGAAGAGTATCAAAAGTGTCAGGCACTTTCCATGGACCAGAAATTTTATCAGACGCTATAAAGTTCCACAAGAAATAAATGAACTTTACTTATTTTTACATGTCTGATTTTTACATATGTTATTAATTAAATATATATAATAATATATAATTAATTAATAAATTAATGGTTGTTTTTTGTTTGCATTATTCTATATGCTAGCAATATAATTAGCTCGGAGAAATTGTTTGATCATTACAATTTGTCTGACTGATTAAATATAACTTTATAATAGCTGTCTTAATAACATATGTAAAAATCAGACATGTAAAAATAAGTAGTTCTATTTCTTGTGGAGCTTCAAAGCATCTGATTCTGGTCCATGGAAAGTGTCTAATTCTTTTGATACTACTTCAGAGTAATATTCTACAATATATATATATATAAAAATCAGCCATACAAATTTAAGTTAAGTCACTCTAATTTTTAGTTATCTTTCTCACCTGGTATCTGCCAATTTGTCACAGGCTTACAAACAAGCCGGTATTCAAAGCACATGAGAGCACTATTGAGAGCCTAAGGTTTCATCCTTGTGAAAATAAGTTATGTCTGATTGCTCTGAGATCTTACTCTAAATAATGTAAGTGCCAAAAATCGGTTTGTCATCTTTTGTTTGTAAATGTCCTAATAGTACGAGAGCTAACAACGTCGGAAAAACAAGTATTTTAAGACGTCTGGCTGCCGGTAAACGTGGCTCTTTGATATATCTTTTACTATGCTCTCTAGAACAGCATGCGGCCCGTCTGGCTGCCGATACCCGTTGTGTTCACTACTGCGCATCGGAAGAAGATCCTATCAAGTGAGGAGTCAGAGTTCGAATCCGGGGCAGTGCAAAAACTTTTTTATTTTATTTTCGTTTATATTCTGATAGTAAAGTATTAAATATTTGTTTTTTTTTTGAATCACCAGAATTATTTAATAATTTACTATCAGAATATAAATGAAAATAAAATAAAAAAGTTTTGGCAATGATCCGGATTCGAACTCTGGCTCCTCGCTTGATAGGCAGAAACTCTACGCACTGCGCTATGGAGGCATTTTCGATTTATATTCAATACTAGAATTTATAGGACTAAATTAAAAAAAATATATATAGGATCTTCTTTCGATGTGCAGTAGTGAACGCAACGGGTATTGGCAGCCAGATGGGCCGCATGATGTTCCAGAGAGCATAGTAAAAGATATATCAAACAGCCAACGTCTTAAAATACTTTCTCGAAAACGTTGCTAGCTCTTAGACTATAAGTTCCAAAATCAAATATATAAAGCAAAACGCTAAGTGCCACGGCGGCGGCCACAGCTATTTATAATTTTATAATTGTATTAAAAAAAAAGTCTTAACAGACACACTGCCCATTCTTATACATAACAAAAATGTTGTTTATTTTGAACTAATGATTATCACATAGAACATTGTTTACTTCAAGTTTTCAATTTATGTCAACATTAGCAATACTGATGGTTTGTTATTTTGAAAATTAGACTGTGACACTATTTAGAGAAAAATGTAAAAACTTCTAAAACCAAACATAACGTTAAAATTCTAATAATTTAAACTTTTTTCTAAAACCATTAGAGATTTGGCTAAAATATATGTGGACACCCTGTATCTCTTTAGTAAGAAATAAAGAACGACTTGATTTTGAACTACAAGGATGATAGCCTGTTATTCATTAAATAAAATGACTGAAGAAGTATTTCAAGAAACTTTTAGATTTCAACATGGCTGACTTTATTTCTGTTTGATCAGTGGCGTTCAAACGTTTTTAACATGTTATTTTATTTGAAAAGATAGAAGAGTGCGGTTTGCACAAATCTGTTCCTAACCTAAACGGAAGATGCTGTAAATAAAATCTTCGTAGCCCTCTTCGTTTTTGAGCTACAGGGTCTTGTTGAAAATTTTGCAATTTGGGACGCCCCCCGTATCTCTTTTATTGTGAAAGGCATCGAGAAGGCGAAAACTGTTTATTGTAGAACTTTTTACGTAGAATACAGTGGCGTAGTATGCTATTCTACGAAAATAATATTTTTGAAGATACATATTAACTAACGTTATGCTTTCTTAAATGGGACACTCTGTATATTTATAAATGATATGATCTGGCTTGCCATAAGCTTCTCAAAAATATATATCACTCTATAGTTATTTTCACTATTTACTGCCACCTATGAACATTTTTTGACAGCATCTTCCGTTTGAAAAAAAAAAGTGGGACAGGTTTGTGCAAACCGCATCCTCCTATCTTTACTAATAACGGAGATGATTATTATTTCAACCAAAATGGGACACCCTGTACATTCAATAATAATATTAAAGAAGTTTGCCTAATTCACAAACTTTAAAAAAACTTTTTTTATCGTATAATTAATTAAGTCAGATAATATCAATTGAATTAATTCTAGTTTTCTAACGACTTGTGTTTCCGACTTTCGTTATAACTCAAATATCAACTTTAAAAATGTTCAATTCATAATTTTACCAGTGCTTATTCAAAATTATTTTTTTGTCAATTTTACACATATTTTATTTTTTATCTCGAAAACTATAAGAGATAAATCCTTGAATTATTGTTTCAGATATGTATTTAATATTTTACAATCAGAATATTAACGAAAATAAAATTAAAAAAAATATGCCCCGATGCAACCTCGAACTCGGACCTCTCGAACTTAAGACCTCCTGACTTGTTTCAAAATGACTCTCATGACGTCTCATTCATGTTTATGAGTATAAAAATTGTATTTTACCCCGTTCCTAGTCTTTTTTCAGTGCTGTCATGCATTTGTCTTTTTTATCATACTGATGCACCTGATGATATTATAATAGTTTTTCTGAGATATATGTTATTAAATATCTGAATAGTTTTGTATTAATTTTACAAAATAAACGAGATACATTTAGAATATATTAAATTCTTGGCAAATTTGGCAGCTTATATTATTTGTGATAAATAGTGATGAGCTTTAGATATTTATTTTACTTAAATTATTTATTTATTAATTATTAATTTAGCTGCTATGTTGTCAATGCTTGTATAATACAAATTAAAAATTATTCATTTTCACTATTTTTTGTAGAGAATTTGTATTAATTTTTTTTAAACAGAAGTACACGTTTTATTTATTTTTCATTTACCATATTTTTATTATACATATATTTTGTTATACAAGGTAAAGCATTTGAACTTTAATAAGTACATTTTTTTCGTCAAATTGAGAGATATAGAAATTTTAATGTTACAGATTGTTTTTAACTATGAATGCTTTTAATTTTCAATTACATTTTTATTTTTATAAAATATTTCCAGTTTGTAATATTCTTATATTAAGTTATAATATCAATTATTGTTTAATTTTTTACCAAACTGTTTAAAAGTATGGTGAATAAAAATCAATAATTGGTATAAAAAATAAATATACTACCTGTTACATATCTAGAAAATTTAAAACAATCATTCTTTGGTTTTCACAAAATAGAAATTGTAATGTACAAAAAAAAACCATCATTTAATTTATTATTGTCGATCTTTTACTAACATAGTATAAAATATTAATAAAATATTTTAATGTAATTAGAAAATATATTGGTATTACAGTTTTTTTCAAACAAAATTTTTAAGTTTTAAACTTGTAGAGTAGAAGTTAAAATTACTTAAAATTGTTTTTCCAATTATCCCATGTTAATGTGATCTTTAGTGCATATTTACCCAGAAATTTAATTTATACTAGCAAAAATGTTGTCTGCCTCAATTGATGTTTCTTTAATTTCATATATTTTAATTAATTGTTTATTTTTATTAAAATATACAAACAACTACTAACTTGCTTTAGTAAAGTGGATAATTTTAATTGAATTTGCGTTAAAAGAAATGTAAAAGCTCCGTGTTTTTAGGTTGTTCTAACTGAATTTTCAAATTGCCAATAGAGAAAAAAAGGCCAGTATTGTTATTTGTGATGTGATATTATATTCTACATTTAGGACATTTAATTAATATGTTAATATAGAATGATTTACAAGGTCTCTACTTTATCAATATTGCCATTATAGTTTGCATTATAGTTAAAATACGTTTGAACATTACATTAAAGTCAACAAATACATTTATGAAATTTGGTAAATAGATATAAAATCGAATTATGATAAATTCTCTTCGATTTTTTGAGATGTATTTTGTCATCTATTATTATTATTGGACACGCTATAACAATTGCAATAAATTATTTTTTAATATTTTTATTAATAAAAAATGCTTGTATGAGTTGTTTTTAGAAATATTGTGAGCCATTCTTTCTAACACAACCTTGAAACACGTGCTGCTTCAATGTTGCAGCCTAAAAATGTTTGCACTTATGTAAATCGTTTTTATTGTGTTCAATAAGTTAAAACAGTCGGAATATCATAAATTTGTATATAAATATGTGTAGCTCTTGTGTACAAAGCGAGATTTTATTGTATATATTAATAATTTATGTTGTACTTAGAATTTATATTTATTTTCTAAGTTTTTTTAAGTATTAAGACTGATCTTTATGAAATTTTGGTTCCTAAGGGGAAGAAGTATTTCAAATAAAAATGATTTGTTTAAATAGCCATTGTTTTTTATTTTAAAAAATAATCATTAAAATTTATTCATCATTGTTATCAGAGCTGCAACAAGTCAGTTTCTCAAGACTTAGAGTCTTAAGTTATAAGTAATACCAATTAAACTTTTAGTTACGTCATCGAGGGTGCTCTGGTGTAAAAAATGTCTCGTTGCTACATTTATTTATTTATTTCCTGATATTTGGTGTCCTCCATTCACGCAGTTGTGCAGCTCTGAACTGTTCAAGAACGCGATACTCTCACTCCATTCAATTGAGTCATAAAGTTCAGAACTGTTCCGCGCCATATGGAGGCCCCAGGCTATTGCGCACAGCTCCTTTCAGAACCGTTCTCGAGTAGCTCAGGGCGTAAACCACTGGAACTTAAGTTCGCGAATGGAGGACAGCAAATGTCATTCGTTTTGACAATTTTGTTTTGTATTACGAGATTTTGGTTTAAATGAATTGTGTTGTGGTACCTATTTTAAGCTTACAATTTTTTACTAGCGGATTATTTACTTACGCTGCGCTGTGCCGGTTAGCATATAAGCCAATATAAGCATTCTTTACAGACCTACGGCACCAACAAAATTTACTTGGTTTTATTGGTCAGCGTACGAAAGAAAGCTGAACGGCGGAAAGTAACGCCTAGCTATAGGCAATTTTGCAAGAGCACCTGTGGCTCCGTGTCTGATGCTATCGCTTCGTGAGCGAATGGTCCGTGGTTCAAATCTCACGCCGCGCAGGACCAAAACTTTTTTATATTTTTTTTGCTTATAGCGTGATTTGATTGCATTTACTGTCCTCCATTTACGCAGTTGTGCAGCTCTGAACTGTTCAAGAACGCGATACTCTCACTCCATTCAATTGAGTCATAAAGTTCAGAACTGTACCGCGCCATATGGAGGCGCCAGGCTATCGCGCACAGCCTTACGCACAGCTCCTTTCAGAACCGTTCTGAGTAGCCCAGGGCCCAACGGGCGTAAAGCTCTGGAACTTGAAATTCGCGAATGGAGGACAGCAATTGGTTTCACTCTTTTTGGTTGGATTGGTTTAGTTACTTGGCGGGTTGGTTAGCGTGGTTATTTGGAGGGTGTTAATTCATTGGTTTTTTGGTGAGGTTGGTTGGTTTTTACTAATTTATATTTTTTGTTTTTTATATTTTTTTACCAGTGTCGAGGTTAGTTGCGTTAATTAAGTTGGTTATTTGGTGGGGTGGATAGCGTTGGTTAGTCCTTTGAAAGATCCCAAAGGATGTCGCCGCTCTGAACCTTTGGCCGCTCTGCTGTGTTGTCTTCTTTCGTACGCTGACCAATAAAAACCAAGTAAATTTTGTTCGTGCCGTAGGTCTGTAAAGCAGCCCATACATACTGTTGCGCAACGAGTTGCCAATGTATGGTAACATTTGATGCGTTGCGCAATTGTTTGATAAGTTTCAAGAATGTTTGAATTCTTTTGAGCAACAGGCGTTTGCGCAGTGCGTTGTGTAGTGTAAGTGTGTGTTGCGCTTCGTTGTGCAATATTTTAGTTCTTTTAGTTCATTCATCCAAATTCTTTGTTTTCTTTTTCGTTTTTTGGTATCATTGAAATCATCTAGGGTATATACGATAATAATTGTCGCAATGGCAATTGAGGACATGATTGTTTCTCAAACAATGCACAACTTTTAATAAAAAGTTTGATCAAAATTTTACTAAGTGCATGGGTGATGCAGTTGTGCAACGGAACGTTGCGCATTGCTTTTTGCGCGACTTGTTTGATAATGTATGGGCCGCTTAAAGAATGTTTATATGCTGCCGGTTAAGCTTAAACACGTCTCACGTGACTAAAAGTTTATTTGATCTCTGTGTTTTCTAAAATTAAAACGATTTAAAAATCAATATAATGTAACTTAAGTCGTTTTTATGACTTCCGTCTATATTTTTTATTTAAATCATGATTATCTGCGAGTTAAGCCGGCCAAATTCTTTAAATCAAAGTAATTACCGTCAAGTCAAGCCAAAATTCAATTTATGTACCTATTTTTTAATGTTAATATAAATGTGTTCTGTTTCTATATTACCGATTGCCGATTTCCTTATTACCTATTTTATTAATTTACTAGCGTGTACCAGCGACTTTGTTCGCGTCGAATTAATCATTTGTAATGATGATGATAAAGCAAAGCAAGAATTTCCATTAACATACAAACTGGATAAAATTTTCTCACATTTATGTCAGCATGAGAAAAAAACAATATGGCAATATTATTATATAACTTGGTAATATTTGAGGGGTAGTTTATTCTTGTTGGAATTTTACTTTCGAAAAATCCGTTTGCCAAAAATAAGCTTTTTACGTCAAGCAGTTTAAGCAGAATCGTGGTTAAGAAATTGCCCAACTTTTTGGAACACCCTGTATGATTTTTTTAAAAAATTCAAAATATGTAAAAAAAAACAAAAAATTATGCTTGTCCAAGCGTTTTCCCAAAAGACTAACCGTTTTTTAAATAACAAATATTGTAATATATGAGGGGCGTTTTCACCCTCTTGGAATTTGAGATTCGAGAAACCCCTCCTTATTGAACCTCTACACCCCTCAGTCAATCCGTTTGCCAAAAATCAGCTTTAAACGTCAAGCAGTTTAAGCAGAATAGTGATTACTCAATGGTCATATTTTATGAAACACCCTGTATAAATTTCTAAAAAATCTTAAAATATGTAAACAACATAATAAAATATACGTGGTTAAGAGCTTTCCGAAAAACTCACCGGTTTTAAATAAAAAAAAATATTTTAATATTTGAGGGATAATTTCACCCCCTTAGAATTCGAGTTTCGAAAAATCCCTTCTTATCGAACCTCTACAGCCTAAAGTCAATCTGTTTTCCAAAAATCAGCTTTTTACGTCAAGCGCTTTAAGCAGGATCGTGATTAATCAATGACCAGAATTTTCGGTTCTTCAAATATGTAAAAAAACAAAATAAAATATACGTGTTTAAGCGTTTTTTCGAAAACTTGACCGTTTTTTAAATAAAAAATATTGTAATATTTGAGGGGTGGTTTCACCCTCTTGGAACTGCAATTTCGAAAAATCCCTTCTTATCGAACCTCTACACCCTAGAATCAACCTGTATGCCAAAATTGAGTTTCTTACGTTGAGTGGTTTGAGCAGGATCGTGATTAATCAGTATGTCAGTCACTTAAGGATTTTATATATTAGTATAGATATAGATTGTAGCTACAAATGAGACTAAAACCACATAAAAAAGACGGTTAATTTTTAAATAACTACAAACATAAAAATTTGTGTTTTATAAAATTTAATCCATTTTTTAGTACTTATGTATTCATTACAGATTAGATGTCATTAATCATCAATACATGGTGTTGGTGGATGGGAAATATGAAATTAAACAACTAATTACTTTTTATGGTTGGTTTTGATTTATTGAGATTCTTTTAGAGGAAATAATTTAATTATAAATAAGTACTGTCCTTAACCTATTAATACCTCATCAATTTTAAATACTAGTTAATAATAGTAAGTAACCAAGATTGCACTTCTCTTGGAATGAAATGACTAGAATTATTCAGCCTAGGTGCTTGCAATCTGGTCATCGTTATTTGTTGGATTCCTGTAAATAAATATATTTACGTAAATATTTTGTTACTTTAAAATCGTGAATTTCGATCTTACTTGCATAGGATATAAGAATGTCTCGACGGAGTCATCACCTACTGAATTTTTAACCATGCAGATGTACACGCCCATATCTTCCCAAGTAATTGACCGAATGCTTAGTTCTCCATCGGGTAATAGTACGAATTTTCCATTGTCCATTCCGTCTTCTATAGTTTTCGAGTTGGGATCGATCCACCATAGATCTGGTTTTGGATTGCCAACAGATTTACAGGGAAGCACGATATCGGATCCTGAAATAAAAGAAATCATGGATTAGACTTTTAAAAACAGTATGACCAAAAAGTTTTATGAGCAAGCGTTTTTGGTATGTTGATAGATAAATAATTCCTATAGGCTTGGTGCATTTCAGTTGATTTCAACAGATTCAGACCGCAGCGTTTCAACGGCAGAAATCAGAAATTATCAGTAGGTATGTATTTCACCCATTAAAATAATATTGAAATCGTGGCTTTGTCATAATATTTAAGTAATTTAGTTTTTTGCAGTTATTGAGACTATAAAACACCCAAGTACGAGGTTTGTGTGATGTAACGATGTCTTGTAACAATTTCAAATGTTAATAAAATTGCAAAAAAAATGTTAACGCGTAAAGGAGAGCGTAATTAGATCGTTGTTGGATGCAATAACATTCAATAACTCAACTTCCCGGATATTCAACTCTCCCGAAACAATATTTTTTAGCTTAATAGTTTCTCACACCGATTTGATCAAAACCAAAAATGGATTCAAGCAGTTTGACGAAACAAGTGAGTAAAAAAAGTGCTCGTTAGATAATCAAAAAATTAAATAGACATATACTATAAGAGGGTAAAATATAATTTACAATATTAATGGTATACTTTTTTAATCGACTATAGTGATTACATTTTTTTATGAACATCTTCTAAAATTATAATTATGTACTTTTAAACAAAATCGTTATAGCCGAAATAGGCCCAATTATGATCCCACTAGCAAAACCGATGATTAAAACTACTCGTATGCTCGCTACCGTAGTTGAACTCACCTAAATTTTTTTTTAGCTGGAATAATAAATTGTAATACAAGTTAGACCTTCTGAAGATATCAAAATATTTTCTTTTTTATTTTTATTATTAGAATTTTCACAAATTATACTTTCTAACGCTTTTAGAATAATTATATAATAAATTTTTCGTATACTCGCTATTTAAACCCGTGTATTTGTATATACTAGTTGTTTACAATATTCTCCGATGGTGGCAGCACCGGCGGAGAATGCACCAAGCCTATCAAGGTGAAATTTATTCTGTAAGATTTTTTTAGTTGTAATCAGGGTTCGGAAGTAGTTAATTAAAACGTAATTTACCTGATTAACTACGTGTAGCTTTTCTTCAAAAACTACGGCTTTTCCCGTTCATTAACTACATGAAAACTACATTAATAAACTATGTATTCATATTCTGAATAATTTTCCTTTGTATGAGGTGTAATAGAGATAATATGATGTAAATATTATATTTAAAGCTATATTTCTTCTGTTTTCTGAAATACATTATGTGTTTTTAAAGCTTCAACTTATTATAACCTCACCTCAAACCTTTTATATTTGAAAGTTACATACATAGGTTACATAAACTACATCCTCTACATAAACTACATTAACTACATGTAATGTAGTTTATGTAGTTTTGAAAAGTAACACGTAGTTTTCCGAACCCTGGTTGTAATGTAAAGCACACCTGATCGATTTTTTTGTTGTACTTAAGGTATGTTACAGTTTTTTGTACTGAATACCTAAAAAAATATACAGTAGGTATCCCATTTAATATTATCTATTCAATTGTATAAAACTGAACAATATGCATTTCATGAATGTTCAAAGAAATTATTTTATTTAACAAAAATACGTCTCCCAAAATAAATAATACAGTAATTAACTTTTTATATTATAAAGTTATATACGTTTTAATGGGTGCTTTGGACTAACTGTAAACTATATTTATATGTCACCATCAGGTTTGCAATACTACTGATAACTTGTGTAACATGCACTTTTCAACTTGATTACAAAATTAAAATTGTAATGTTATCATAAGATGAAGGTCAGAAATACTTGACAAAATAATTTTAGTGGGAGGGGGTAGAGCATAATGAAACAGTATTTCACTAGCGTTGCTGCAGATAATGTTTTTTTTTAATTATGCCATCAAAATTACTTCGGCGCACGCCACTGATAAAAACCTACTTGATCTAATTATTACCCTTGTTGTTACGAAATAAAATTTATACCCTAGTCTATTAAGAAAATATAGTCTCATTTTTTTCAAAAACTTTTAATAATCAGCATCTAATGGAAATTTTTAAGTGGTATATTTAAAAATTTCCTTTACTTAAATTTGGATAATTTGTTTTTCGGTAAGTAGGAATATTTTTTTTTTCAATGTATGGAATAAACTGCTTCTCTAATCATACCGTACGATCGAAAAAAACGGTATCAAGTTAGTTGTACAGGGTGTCCCAGTTTAGTTGAAATTATACACGGTATCTCCGTTATTCGTAAAGATAGAAGGATGCGGTTTGCACAAACCTGTGCCACTTTTTTGTCAAACGGAAGATGCCGTAAACAAAATTTTCATAGCCCTCTTCGCTTCTGAACTACAGGGTCTTTTTGAAAATTTTGCAATTTGGGACACCCTCTGTATTTCTGTTATTGTTAAAGGTATTCAGAAGATGAAAACTGTTTATTGTAGAAATTTCTACGTAGAATACAGTGGCGTAGTCTGTTTCTCTATGAAAAGAATATTTTTGAAGATATGAACTATAGTTATGTTTTTTTAAATGGAACACCCTGTATATATATATATATATATATATATATATATATATATATATATATATATATATATATATATATATATATATATATATATATATATATATATATATACTTAATTAATAAAATAACAGTTATATTGACTGTGGCTGTTCATGTTGTTGTGATGACAGAAACAGAACTGTCAGGGAAGTGTATATTATACATTTAAGCTTGACCAATCAGGTTGGTTAACGTTGTTATTTGAAGTGTGTTAATTCATTTGTGTTTGTCAAAAACTCTAACGTGATTGGTCGGACTTAATAGTTGCCTGCTAGGGCTAGACACAAGCAAAATATTGAGACCGGGCGAGTACCCTATCTGGCGCCCCCCCCTCCCCCCTTAGTTTTTAAAACCAAATAATTATTATAACTCTCTCTTTCCTTCAATACTATACTTTAACTACAACTAAGCATATTTATATAAATATGCTTAGCAGGATAACAATATATTTTCACTTAAAGATTCTTCAAAATTCTCCTCTTCGTTTAATCTTATTCTGCGGTTGTTGTTTCTTTTCTAAATCGTATGCGTCTCGAAAGTGACTTACCACTATAGTTAGTATATGACATAAATTAGGACTGATTGCCGGGTTCAGTTGTTTTTGGTACCTTCCTGTTTCACCGGAAATTACTAAAACTTTTGATTTTTAAATGGCACCCTCGGTATATTTCTACTTTATTCGATAAAAAATGATATTCTGAGTAGAATGGTATATCATATGTCAACTTTTGATATGTTTGCTTAAAGAGTCGTATTTTAAATTTCAATCTTGAGTGCCATGGCTGTGTTAAAAACACTAATTTTTAAACAAGGAGACTTGGAAAAATAGATTTGATAGTTTAATGTTCTTCGTGTCTTGTTCTGGCCGGTTAAAATATGCTCAAATCGTATTTTTAATCATATATCAATTTTTTCAAATGGAACAAGGGTGGCTCATTAGCATATTTGGAAAAAACATTTTTTTACGAATAATTTGATACTACACACTTTATTTCGAGTCAAATTGTTATGAACCGCATGTTACAATTTCAAACAAGCCATATGCGAAAATGTCAAAAGTTGACATATAATATGTCATTCTATTCAGAGTGTCGCATAGATAAATGCAACAAGTTTAGATTGGAAAGATCGTAAAAATTTTAGGTCGCGTAATTATTTTGGGTCGCGACCGTTATACGCGGTCTGGCGCTGCCATAGCGGTCGCTAAGAACAACGACAAACAAAAACAGAAATAATTTTCTCTTGTCAAAGTCAGAATCTTCAAAAATCATAATAATCTTTCAAAATCTAAACCGCTCTCATTAAAGAAATTGTTTGAAAGTGTTTATAGCGTCCATTTTCAAAGTAATTATTGCTATCTTGTGAGTTTAATTCAAGTTTTATTTACTCCAACCGGTGATAATTGTGAAAAAGTGGCATTAAAAACTTAAAACGCTGTGCTGTGAACTGCAAAAACCATCGAGGATCGTGGCATAACGTCGGTTTCCAATGTTTCATAGGTATTTCATACATGCGTCCTTATATAAAATAAAGTTTCTTGTATGCAACACACTGTATTTTATTTATAAAATTAAACGAAAATAATAATAAATTTGAATAAACAATATTTGGCGATATAATTCCGGAAAAAGCCGAACCGCTCCGAAATTTTCAAAAGTTTTGGGTCGCGACCGTTGCAAGAATAGCGCCAAATAGTGTTTACATTGTCCTTATGGGCACTTTCCAATCTAAACTTGTTTCATTAATCTATGGAGTGTCGTTTTCTATCGCATAAAATAGAAATATACCGAGAGTGCTATTTAAAAATCAAAAGTTGTAGTAATTTCCGGTGAAACAGGAAGTGACCAAAAACAAATGAATATGTCAATTAATCCTAATGTCGTATACTCACACACCAAGTCTCGTTTTATCTTCTGAAAAATTATACAATTTATAGGGGTGAGCCACTTTTGAGACGCCCCGGTATATAGAGCTATAAGAAATAGAATTCCAACTTCGGCAGTCTCGTTCTGGTTCTGGTATAAGTGATCTTTGAAAACATTAGTATTTAGTTGCAAGCAGTTGCATTATTTTTCTATAAGAATTTTTCTTTTTCACAATCAATTATTTCGTGCAGAATCAGTATATAATCATATACAGTTTTTTCGGCTTCAAAATGAGAATCAGCCAGTGTTTGAGATGCATTTCTTTGTGATTTTTTTTTGTGTGATTCCTTTAATGAGAAAATTCTACGATTCTGCTACCATTTTCCGTGTATTACTACATATTCAATCCGGAACAATCAAAATCACCAAAAGATTGATATCTTTCCCACTACTGTGAATAAATTAATTTAATTAATGATGCAAGCTTTTTTTGATAATAAGGATATCGGGATCCTCTTCAGCTTCTTGCGAATGAATATTTGCCTCATATAATTTTAGGGCATATCAGCCATTAATAACAAATAAAGGGTGTGGGTAGTAGAAAGAAGAAAAAGTGCGATTTTGAGCGGTCAGTCTATAACTGTCAATTAGATATGCCTGGCTCTTGGCCCACAGTTTGTTTAAAAACTTATAAAAACAAGAATTATAGAAAGAAGGGTTGTTATTTACAAAAAGTTATTAGCTTTTGAGTTATAACCAAAATACCACGAACAAATCAGATATGTTTTTATTTTATTTTATTTAATATTCTTCCGCGAAAAAATAGAGCACCCAAAAACATATAGAATAGAAGAAATCAAAACTATGATAAAGCTTTCGTGCGAAGGATTTTTTGAGCATAATTTCAGTAAACTATAATAGGATATGTCTCGGATATAGTAGTGTTTATAATGTTTAGTCAGATATTTCTTCCCTATGTGGTGTGGTAATTGCTACTATTTTAATGTGGAAATTGATAGTATCGATTAATTATTGATCTGATTATTCGTTACTACTTGTTTAGATTACTGTTTTTAAATATTTTAGTTACTGTCGTGGCGTCCCACGCATCCGGCGCCCCGGGCGTCGCCCGGCCCTTCCGCCGGCCCTGAGAACTGTCATCAGTCTGTTACACGCAACGTTTTGATCTGTATGCCAAATCGCACAGTTCAGATATTAAGACCAAATAGATAGCGATTTTTTTACACTACACGTTCATATTTTATAAAAGATAATTTCGTCGGTCTATAGTTTAGTACAATTCCCGCCAAACCTGTGGTCTGTGCAGTTTAAAAATATTCAGTATATTGAAAGATCGCAGATCTTATCTCTTTTTTTTTTCTTTTTTTCTAAAAAAAGCATGTAGACCTACTGACGAGCAAACTTTGTAGACTACTAAGAGCTAGTCTGGCCTTAGGATATATACCGAGAATTTGGAGGCTGACCAGGGTAGCTTTTATACCCAAGAATGGGCGTCTGGACTATTCTACGGCAAAGGCTTTTAGACCCATCAGTCTTATGTGGTTCGTACTAAAGGCTCTTGAGAAACTAATGGACAGGTTAATGGGAAAAAGACCATTTCACCAAGACCAGCATGCCTATCCAGCAGGACGATCAACCGAATCGGCACTCTATCAGCTAGTAAGCAAAGTGGAGTCGACGTTCGAAACAAGAGAAGTGCTTTTAGGGGCATTCCTCGACATAGAAGGGGCGTTTGATAACACCTCATTTCAGTCACTGACGAGAGCTACAAGGGACCTCGGATTAGAGGAGATCTGCTGCAGGTGGATAGACTGCATGCTCAAAAGTCGAGTGGCATATACCACCCTCCTAAATGAGACTGTTGCAGTCCGGGTGGCGGGAGGATGCCCGCAGGGGGGAGTTCTCTAAATAAATAGTACCTAAATAAGTACTCATTGATTCCTCGTCAAAAAATATATGAAAAAAAGTCACATGGGTATGGAAATACATAGTTTTAGAGCTACAGGATGTTAAAAAATTTTTAAATTAGGTTTTTTGTAATTATCTTAAATACCATTATTTTTTTATTTCAAATTGTCGTAGGTTGGACTAATAGTAATAATAACTAATAGTAATAATATTTAATAATAATCTTTAATAATATCTAATTAATTAAATTAAGTAAAATATATAATTTATTAATTTTATTTTTATTAATTGTGATAAAATTACGTTTACCTCATCAAGGAGGCTGAATTCGACAAAATATCAAGAGATAACTTTTAATTGGCATTAAACGGCCTACACAATTATGACATAAAAAAAGTCAGTGGCGTACATGTTTTTTTTTGGAAAAATATTCTAGTGATAACCCATATGCACGTCCCATGAATTTATCAACACTTTTTTAGCATTAAAATATGTAACACTTGTAGCAACTTTTACGCTTAAAATTTAATTCGAAACGCGAAAGTACTTGGATGAAAATTATAATAAAACGAAAAAATATTGCAAAAAATACAACTTTTGCATAAAATAATCTGGGGAGATAACAATAATTGACACGGTAAATTATTTTAATTTCTTTTTTTAACTTACCAATAATGTCCATGTAAGCTGGAGCCCAAAACGTAACTCTTGGACGATGGTGAGCGCCTAAAATCTTGTTGGCTAATAACTGAGTAAAATTCATTTCTCTCCCTCTGGCATTTGGTATGATAAGGTCAGTTGCAGCTTTATCTCTTTCCGAACCAGCCTCAGCTACACAGTAATATTTACCTTGGTGTCTGGGGAGGATGTAGTTGATCACAAGACGGGAAGCAACTTTTGCCAGTCCCACTGTACGATCGATCAAGTTTGAGTTTTCAAAACTCTCATTCTATAAAAAAGAAATAAAATTAGACTAAGACTTACTCAAAGAATGCATTTTATAGGAATACTAGCGTGTACCAGCGACTTCGTTCGCGTCGAATCATTTGTAATGGTGATGATAAAGCAAAGCAAGAATTTCCATTAACATACAAACTGGATAAGATTTTCTCACATTTATGTCAGCATGAGAAAAAACAATATGGCGATATTATTATATAACTTGGTAATATTTGAGGGGTAGTTTCATCTCGTTGGAATTTGACTTTCGAAAAATCCGTTTGCCAAACATAAGCTTTTTACGTCAAGCAGTTTAAGCAGAATCGTGGTTAAGAAATTACCCAACTTTTTGGGACACCCTTATGATTTTTTAAAAATTTCAAAATATGTAAAAAAACCAAATAAATTATGCTTGTCCAAGCGTTTTCCCGAAAGACTAACCGTTTTTTAAATAACAAATATTGTAATATTTGAGGGGCGTTTTTACCCTCTTGGAATTTGAGATTCGAGAAACCCCTCCTTATCGAACATCTACACCCCACAGTCAATCCGTTTGCCAAAAATCAGCTTTAAACGTCAAGCAGTTTAAGCAGAATCGTGATTACTCAATGGTCGTATTTTATGATACACCCTGTATAAATTTATAAAAAATCTTAAAATATGTAAAACAACAAAATAAAATATACGTGTTTAAGAGTTTTTCCGAAAAACTCACCGGTTTTTAAATAAAAAATATTTTAATATTTGAGGGATAGTTTCACCCCCTTAGAATTCGAGTTTCGAAAAATCCCTTCTTATCGAACCTCTACACCCTAAAGTCAATCTGTTTTCCAAAAATCAGCTTTTTACGTCAAGCGCTTTAAGCAGGATCGTGATTAAGCAATGACCAGATTTTTCGAAACACCCTGTATACATTTTTAAAAAATCTTAAAATATGTAAAAAACAAAATAAAATATGCGTGTTTAAGCGTTTTTTCGGAAACTTGACCGTTTTTTAAATAAAAAATATTGTAATATTTGAGGGGTGGTTTCACCCTCTTGGAACTGGAATTTCGAAAAAACCCTTCTTATCGAACCTCTACACCCTAGAATCAACCTGTATGCCAAAATTGAGCTTACGTTGAGTGGGTTGAGCAGGATGGTGATTAATCAGTATGTCAGTCACTTAAGGATTTTATATATTAGTATAGATTTTAAGATGCTTTATTCAGAACAATGAAAATATTTTCAGTCAACAAATTATTGAAGTACCAACTAAGGAATGCAATCCCGCACCAAAATCTCAATCCCGCAAACCCGCGGGATTAAAGCAATCAATCCCGCGGATCCGCAAAATTGCGGGACTGTAAACAATAGTCATACATTTGGTCCTAAATGGTACAAAAAGCATTGTACATTTTGCATAGGTCCACAATATATTGATATAGCGTGTATCTTAAACTAGCTGTACAGAAATTTGGACCGATGTATACAGGGTGTTCAAAAAATATATTTAATATTAAATAAACTTCAATTTTATTATAATTTATCTACTTATTTTATAAATAAAAATATTATTCTGATGTTGAAGTTTTTTTTAACGTATGTTAGTTATCTGCTTTTAGATACACTCTATATCAATAATTTTTTGGCATATGCAGAATGTAGAAAGCTTTTTGTATTTGTACTATTTAGGGCCAGACGTAAAACGTCGTATTTTCCTTAAAACCAAAAAAAAATTAAAAAAACGATCAAATTGTTGTTTCGTACTTGGTAAAAATTTCGATTTTTTAAAAATTGTAAATTTGCGGTAAAAAAGATACTTGACCAAATTTTCACACTCTTATAAAACACCCTGTATACGAGAATTCGCTAAATATATTTTCGAAAACCACATAGGTATCTTAATCACAATAGATGCATCTAAAACCTGGTCCAAACCGCATCTCAAAATCTTTTTTAGTTCAAGAGATATTCAACTTTAAATTTACCCTAAAATTTTGCTTGTCCCGATAATTATGTCCGGCAATTTATTTGACGAAAGTGTCCACAAGCACTAGTTAAAAGCTGTTCTTCACTTACGCACATACGCCAGAAAGAAATCTAATAACTAACTTGTTTGTTTCACTTATTTTTAATGGCCAAGCCGTAAGGGGAATCCCCCGGGTTCCGAGCGTCGACGCATCGGCCTGGAACGAAGCAGTTTGATCTTAATCGAGATCGATTGGGTTACCCAGTAATAATGTGTCGATCCCGCGGATCCCGCACGGTAAATCTCGCAACTTTGATCCCGCGGAACCTCTGAGGGATCCCGCATTTGCGGGATTGCATTTCCTAGTACCAACGCTTCGGTCTTTTTTTAGGATGTTTAGTTTTAAAAATTAAATAGATTTATTATTATTCGGAAATTCTGTGTATCATTTAATCATTATTCATTACAGCTGATCTACTTCGCTAGTTATTGAGTGTTTCGCGTTCCTGCTTCTCGTACACATTCGGAATATAATAAAAGATCGCCGACAATCGACAGGCTGTGTATGAATAGTCTGTGATCTTAGCATATCTTTAATAATGGAGTAAGGAGTGACATTTTTTTTAAACATCCGAGATCAGAGTTATGAATGTCCTAAGTAGTTTTACATTTAAATTTAGATTTTTTAAAAACGAATTTAATCCATTGAACAGTTCAATTATCTATTCAAATCATAAAATATAGATAAAGGAGGTGTGACTTGACGTTTACTGGTGCTTGTTGCCAAGTCAAAACTGTAAGTGTTGAAAGAAAAAAACGCTATAAAGATTAGTGATTAGATTAGTTATTTTTATTTATATTAATTTAATTTAGAACAAATGATTTATAGTACTCCTTTAGTGTTTGAAATTATTATCTTTTTTAATTAAGAATTTACCTTCATCTTCAAAGCTTCGATAAATTACATTTTTATTATTATTTACATTATTCAGTGAAAAGTTGTGAATTTGATGATGCGACACCACAGGAGTGTTTACTAATAACAAATTGATTGTGAATTTCTATTGCTTTATGTTTTAATACCGTATTATAAAAAAAACGGCGTCCAGTTGACTTGGAAATCAACGTCGATGACTTTCCCCATAAAATTTTACACACATATAAAATGTCAGCGATCTTCATTTCATAGCTATCGCTGACGCCGTTTTTTATCATACGGTAGTTTAAAACAACGTTCCAACACCTCCTGTATTATTTACAATTGAAACGTACTAAACTAGAAGTAACTATAATGGATAACACATTTATCGCTAACATAGGTGCAATTGTTTATTTTTAAATTTATGATTAAATTAAGGATAATAAAAGAACATATCGAGTAGGAAGACAACAACGAAATATTTCCTCCGATGTTTGTATATTATTTTCGACTCCTGCTAGTAGAGGGCGCCACCTACATAATTTTTAACTGATTTGAAGAGTAATAAATGAGTAATAACTTTTCGTCCGTACCTGTACAAAACTACTGAGTAAAAAAATAAATTTACGTCGTTTTTTACGTAAAAAAATGCCTCTTGGTAAAAATCGCTACGATTATTGGTTTACGAGATATCTGAAATCGAAATTATCAATACCTGTCATTATTGACATAAATTAAATATGTTGACTAAATAGTTATTAGACTGACATCATAAATTTGAAGGATTTTGTGCCAAAAGTTCAACAGAAACTGTTTTAAATCATCATTTTTTGCTAATTTAAAAAATAAAAATTTCCCAAATTTATTATTTCAGTGAAATAACTATCTACTCAACGTGTTTATTTTTCGTCAATAATGACATGTATTGACTATTTCCATTCTAAATAATTTGAGAACGGTTGCTCGTAGCGATTTTTACAAAGAGACTTTTTACGTAAAAAGTCACAAAGATGTATATTTTTTTCCTCGGTAGTTTTATAGAGGTACGGAAAAAATGATTATGCTTCAAAACAGTTAAAACACATGTAGGTAGCGCCATCTACCAGTAGAGGTCATATTGACATCAAAATCAAATTTTTCATGTCAAAAAACTCCTAGACACCAATTTTCATCCAAATATTGACGTTACTTCAGAAATTATTTGGAAAAAATCGAAATAAAAATGAAACTTCTACACCCTGTATAACCGAAACTAAGCATTTTAGGACATACATTTAGACGAACTTTGTAACTTATTTTTATCTACAGAATATGCTGCCGAAGTTTCCGGAATACAGTTCGGACCACCCTGGTAAATTCTCTAATTTGACTTAAGAAAGAAAAGTAAAAATAGATATTATATACATCACTCACTACTCACCTCAGTTATTCTCATGTGGTCCTTGTACCATTGAATAGTAGGTGGTGGAGAACCCATTGCTTCGCAGTAGAACTCCACATGGGACCCAACATTTTTCTTGATGTGTGGAATAGGGGCTTGACTAATTTTCACATAATCCCTCGAGTTTTTGTACTCATAATTTGCTATATTACCTGTGAAAAATAACAGCCATATAATGACTATGGACAACAGCAAAACAAATGTGAATGAAATTCTTAAGATATTTTTATTCGCGTAAAGCATTTTTACAAGATACTTAATTCTTGCGGAGGAAAATGAACGTAAAATTATTTTATGGAGAAATATCACTAAGAATTTTTTCTTATTTTAAGATAATCAGCTTTTAAAGATAAAGATTAAGTATACTTTAAAAGTTATATCTAGATATGTGATTAATAAATTTATAAGTGTTATAATTCATATAAGAAAAAACTCTTATCGAAAACTATATGATAGGTATACAGGGTGTTGGGTGTTATTGAAATGGTGAAAGGATTTGCGCTGACCAGTCTAGACTAAAGTCTGTCCAAGTCAGAGAAGATTTCGACAGACGACATCCAAAATTATACAGAAAATACAGGTAACAAATGTCATTGTCATGTATCCTCTCGTTGGACAAACTTTAGATATAGAGGGTGAGTCTTAAATAAGTGCAAATAATTTCAGGGCTGGTAGATCTCGATAAAAGAAACATATTTTCCATTTGATTTGATAATTTGATGATAGAATGACATATCATATGCCAACTTTTGACATTTTAAATTAAAAAAAATCGTATTTTAAATTTTAATCTAGAGTGACTAATTTTTAATCAAGAAAAATAGATTTAATCGTCTAATGTTTTTGTGTCTTGTCCTGTCCGGTTAAAAGATGCCCAAGTACCGTATTTTTAATCATATCTCAATTGTTTCAAATGGAGGGTGGCTCATTAGCATATTTGGAAATATCATTTTTTACGAATAATTTGGTACCACACACTTGGTATTTGGAGTCAAATTGTGGTTATGACCGCATGTTACAATTTCAAATAAACCATATGCGAAAATGTCAAAAGTTGACATATGATATGTCATTCTATTCAGAGTGCCATTTTCTATCGAATAATGTAAAAAAATACCGAGAGTGTCCTTTAAAAATCAAAAGTTGTCGTAATTTCCGGTGAAACAGGAAGTGACCAAAAACAATTGAATACGTCAATCAATCGTAATTTATGTCATATACTAACATACCAAATCTCGTTTTATTATCTGAAAAAAAAAAAATGTTGACACTTTTGAGACGCACCAGGTATAATTTTTGCTCATATTTTGAGAACCACTGGATTTTCTCTGGGTTTCTTTTTTATAAATTTGAAAATACTAATTAAAAAAATAAAAATACTCAACAAATACTCAATTTAAAAAAAATCGCGAAAAATACCCTATAAACGTGTTGTTGGGGTCGAAATATACCACCCCAAAAGATATTTTCACTTATCTAAGACTCACCCTGTATAGAAACTATGAAATGATCGTAAATATTTTAAATGATCGATACCTAATTGTTAAGAAAAACCTAGTTCTTACCATCTGGTATAGCGCTGACTTCATTGTTAATATCTTCTGACAGTCGCCGACTGTAACCAATTTGCAGGCAGAGTGTTGCGAATAATACTGATAAAATAACCTGGAATAGAATAAAACATTATGAGAAATAATAAAGATCTTTGTAAGGGTTAAGTAGGTAAAGGATACTTTTTGATTTATTCAGTAATATTTTTTTTTCTGTATTGAAAAAAAATCGTATTCAGAATATATATAGCTATGTATAGCTCTTCTCGTGTAAGTTTTCCTTTTTTAAGAAACGTTAGATTTTTAAATATATCCATTGGACGGAAGTGAAGTAAATAAGAAGTTTCACTTCAAATATGCGCACATAGTGTACACACAATTTTTTTTAGCGTTTTTCACAATGTTGAACTTAATATGTTTTATGTGAACAGGTGAGCTTATGTGTAGTCAGAGCAGGTATTCATTCATGTTATTTGCTATTAGTACGAGAGCTAGCAACGACGGAAAAACAAGTAGTTTAAGGGCTCGAACACACTGACGACGTCGTACCGGCCAGGCCGCAGCTACCTCTAAAACCATTAAATCAAATGATATAGCGCACACTAACGTCCTGGCCGTCCGTTGGTCGTTGCGGCCAGAAGACTGCACGGAAATATTATTATTTTCTGCCGCTTGTTGCCGGTTTTCTTCCAAATTAATAATTTTTCAGATGATATCCCTCAAATTCAAGGCACAATATTTTATTTTCTATAAGATATAGTGTTTTAGTGTAGTTTTTGCACACGTGCAGAAAATCCAAAGAAATAGTATACAGACTGGATCAAAGGTAAACTTAAATTTGATCCCTTTTTTTTATCAAGGGTCGATTCTAGTAAAAACTCAAAACATTTTTATATGACATACCTACTCTATTTATAGTTGGTATGATACCTGTTATTATACCTTTCAGTTTCGATGGTTAAAAAATAAAAAAAATAATATTTAAAGTTTTTCTACAACCACTTGTTTTTTTTTATTAAATTAGTTTTTTTAGTTGTATTGTAGTCATGTACAAGGAGGACAACTGTATTTTAAATATTATATTTAATTTAACGTTTTTCAAACAGGGTTCATTAGACTATATTTCTACTAGGTACATTATTTTGAAAAAAAATAAGAAAGTAACTTAAACATTCATAAAAATAGAAGTAATTACTGTTGTAGATTCTTCGTTATATTGTAAACATTGAAATAACTGGAAGCTAAACTTTCTACCTGCTTATATTTAGAGCCAGTGTCTGACGATCTTTTTTTACGATGGCCCTAATATGTTTACTTCTAAAGTCGATAAGGGCGCCATATCAGTAGAAAAAAGAAACAGAATATCTCCCTTTTTGTCGGTCGGCGTACACAATGCTTTTTGTTTGTTGTGAATAGCAACTTCGCTTTTTAGTTAACTCGGATATTTTAACATTTCTGAAACAATATTTTCTAATTGGTAAAACGTAAAAAATCGTTAGATTTGACAACTCTGTTGAAACTGGTCGTTCATCTGGCCGCAGCTAAAAACGCAATACATCCGGCCAGCCGACGGCCAGGTCGTTGCGACTTGGTCGTCAGTGAGTTCGAGCCCTAAGACGTGGCTCTTTGATATATCTTTTACTATGCTCTCTAGAACAGCATGCGGGCCCGTCTGGCTGCCGGTAAACGTTGCGTTCCCTATTGCGCATTGAAAGAAGATCCTATATTTTTATTAGTCCTTTAAATTCTAGTATTGAATATAAACCATGATACAAAGAATACAAGGTATGATATTGCGCAGGTTGGTCAGTACGTCACAGGTGATAAACAGTACCATTGGTCGGCAAGCTCCGCGCGCCAATTTCAAATTGTCAAACAGATGACACAAAAAATGTGAAAATAATTTTTCAAATGTCAAGCTCCATGATTTGACATAACTTTTGGGGTTATGTCCTAATTCTTCCCTATTTTAGGTCTTTTTTTATTAGTGGCAATTGAACAATACGGATATTTTTTTGTATTGGCGTATGACGTCACAGGTGGTATGCGCAAACTTAACGAAATTGGAGCCGCTATCGATCATACCTTGTTTTCTTTGTACCATGAATATAAACCGACCGAGTCTCCATAGCTCAGCGCGTAGAGTTTCCGACTACGAACCGAGGATTCAGAGTTCGAGACTGGGTCAGGGCAAAATCTTTTTTATTTTATTTTCATTTATATTCTGATAGTAAAGTATTAAATAATTCTGGTGATTAAAAAAAAACAAATATTTAATTCTTTACTATCAGAATATAAACGAAAATAAAATAAAAAGTTTTTGCCCTGACCCGGTCTCGAACTCTGAATCTTCGGTTCGTAGTCGGAAACTCTACGCGCTGCGCTATGGAGACTTGTTCGATTTATATTCAATACTAGAATTTAATGGACTAAATAAAAAATTATACCGGGTGCGTCTCAAAAGTGGCTCACCCCTATAACTTTTTTATTTTTTCAGATAAAACAACGAGATTTGGTATGTTAGTATATGATATAAATTGGGATTGATTGACGTATTCAATTGTCTTAGGTCACTTCCAGTTTCACCGGAAACAACTACAACTTTTGATTTTTAAATGGCACCCTCGGTATTTTTTTATTTTATTCGATAGAAAATGACACTCTGAATCGAATGACATATCATATGTCAATTTTTGACATAGTCACTCAAAAACAAATTCTATTTTAAATTTCAATCTATAGTACCATGGCTGTGTTAAAAACACTAATTTTTAATCAAGGAGGCTTGGAAAAATAGATTTGATCGTCTAATGTTTTTAGTGTCTTGTCCTGGCCGGTTAAAAGATGCCCAAATCGTATTTTTAATTATATCTCAATTTTTTCAAATGGACCGAGGCTCATTTGCATATTTGGAAAAAGCATTTTTTACGAATAATTTGATACCACACACTTGGTATTTTGAGTCAAATTGTCATTATGAACCGCATGTTACAATTTCAAATAAATCATATGTCAAAATGTCAAAAGTTGACATATGATATGTCATTCGATTCAGAGTGTCATTTTCTATCGAATATAGTAAAAAAATACCGAGGGTGCCATTTAAAAATCAAAAGTTGTAGTCATTTCCGGTGAAACTGGAAGTGACAGAAAAGAATTGAATACGTCAATCAATCCAAATTTATGTCATATACTAACATACCAAATATCGTTGTTTTGTCTGAAAATCAAAAAATTTATAGGGGTGAGCCACTTTTGAGACGCACCTGGTATAGGATATTCTTCCGATGCGCAGTAGTAAACGCAACGGGTATCGGCAGCCAGATGGGCCGCATGCTGTTCCAGAGAGCATAGCAAAAGATATATCAAAGAGCCAGCTTTCTTAAAATACTTTCTCGAAAACGACGCTATAGCTCATACACTATAGTCATAGTAAAAAAATGCATTACTGTGGTTCATGTATTAACGCGTGTTCAAGTTATCTCGACTCTACTCTAATTTGAGAAATTAATAATTCCATCAATGATAATACAAATTGGCGTCCAAACATTATTTTAAAAAAAATTGACCCCTCCGTGTCGGATAGTCCCCGATATCGACTGTTACGCACAAGTGTACGCTGGCCTTTAATTGGAATCTTCCTGTTTTTTCTTTAATGAAATGTTAAGTCGTAGTACCGACGGATACGATACACTACACAATATACTATAATTTACTGATAAGATAACGAGCTTTCTCGGAGTCGATGGCATTTCATGAATGGAAATAATGTTACGCGTACAAAATCCGTTAAAGAAGGAATCTACTATGTAGACCAGCGGCTTGCATTTATTTGCCTACATGACCGCGGGTAATGGAATATTTTATTTGTACAGGACGGATCACATCGTGTGAAGACAAGGTATGATTTTTATTTGTAACTTTAAAACTTCAAAATAAGAATTCAAATAATTTTAGTATTGAATTTTGACATTACAGGTGAGACACGAATACTTATTTGTGTAACTATTAATGACAACTTTAACTAAAGAGAAAAAAATTGTAAATTTTTGTTAAAATATTTGAAATCCTGGGAGATAAACAAGTACCAGTACTGGAGGACACCTCGCGGCAAGATTACGGAAAAGAGTTTTAAGCGAACTGAATGCGCTGAGACGACGCGACGACCATTCGTGCCATGAACTTTAGTACCTACGGCTCATGTCGAGGATGGAGAGCTGGCCTCTGTGGAGCCGTCTCAGATACTGGCTTTTGTTAAAGCCGTGAGACTGTATGATGAGTTATAACTCAAGAAAGGGGATTACACAATAGATCTGTAAGGTCGCGGTGATTAACTCCCCTCCTAAACATTCTACATTGTACAACATGTGCAAAAAGCTTATTTGTTGCACTCAGCATGATTGTCGCTCATGTGAAAAATATCATGCGTCGTGCAACAAATATGTCCTTTTTGCACTAGTTACACAAATAACTATTTTACTCCGAATAGACCAATAGTTTTTTTTCAAACGTCAAATAAGTATTAATATTTGCGACGTGAATGGCAATATATAAAAAAGTCATTTTAATGCTTAGGCATAAACATAGGGCATAAAAGTAAAGCACTTTTACGCCTAAGCATAAAAGTTTAATAAAGAGGATACAATTTCCGAACCGTACCCAAAGGGTAAAAACGGGAACCCTATTACTAAGACTTCGCTGTCCGTCCGTCTGTCGCAAAAGTCTATTTTATGAACCGCGATAGCTAGACAGTTGAAATTTTTACAGATAATGTATCTATGTTGCCGCTATAAGAACAAATACTAAAAACAGAATTAAATAAATTTTTATAAATAAAAAAGTACTTTCACTAAACATTATCTTTTAAGTAAGAATTTTACATAGAATCTTTCAAGCCCTCGGTGGCCGCGTGATTAAAGTGTTAGGACTTTACGCTGCTATGATGTTGGAGCCGTAATAAGGCAGGTTCGAATCCTAGTCAAGGCGACTTTTTTTAATCGTTTTTTTTAATTTTTACATATTTTTACATATTTATTTTTACTTTTTACATATTTATTATTGATTGATACAATTTTTAGTAATGTGTTTCTTCATTTTTTTTAAATTACTTATACG